GAGAGCCCCATTCCAAAAATGAACGGCGATTGAGCATACGTATAGCGCAGTGTCGGGCGCTGTGTTCAAATAAATCAAAAAGCCAAAAAAAAATGCAATAGGGGGCGCGGCGGTGTCCCACTATTGATGGCGCCCTGATCGACCGCCCAGGTTGCCAACCCTGGTACTATGTGTTCATATGCATGTATGTGCTTGCGTGCGTCCGTGAGTGTGCCTCTATGTATGTGTGTGAGTGTGTGTGTGCGACCATCTGGGGCGAAGCTGTTCATGTCTATTTGTTCCTTCGTGCGTGCCTGTAGGCGTAGGTCTTTATGGGTGTGTGTGCGTGCGTGTCTGTGTTTGCATGTATGAGCGTGTGCGATAAGAGTGCCTTGTTGCGTGTGTGCGTTGTTGCGTGAGTCTGCATTTCCACTTGCGCGTCAACAACGTGCCGTGACTCGCAACCGTATTAATAATTCGAGCAGCGAGATCTCGATGGCACATATTTTCACGCTCGGCAAACATTCTGCGTTAAGTGTAAAGAATCGTCAGTTCCCATTGCGACTGCCATAGTTTAAGAACAAATAGTGTTTTCCATTCTTTGCGCCTTCTCTTAATGGCAGGCTGTTCCTCGCCCAGAGTATCGCGTATGAGCGCCTGACGCCAGCGTTCGGCGATCGAACGCTAGAGTCTGAGTGAAGAGCGGCCGACGCTGTTGTTCGCTCGGATTGGAGGGAGATTGTGGGATAGGCGCAAAGGCGGGAAGCCTTTCCATCTACCCACCATCTTTCCAATGAAAGTTCGGCGAAAAGCTCACGCTATCATTTTCTCCTCTCCCTCAGTTTCCCACCGTATTGGCATGGGCCGCGTGCGCTCGTGTCGCGCTGGCCTTGGCTTTCAGCTCCCTTGCGAAGCACGCGCGCTCGTGCACTAGAAGCATTATTCAGGGACCCATGCTCGTGCTTGTATAGCACCGGCTTGTCTCGATCAAAAAGTAAAACAAGCTTTATTGAAGACGTGCGCGTCCAAAAGCGTCGCTGCGGTCGGTCCTCCAAGATTCTCCAAACGCTCAATTTGAACTCAATTTTCATGATTTCACAAAAGCCTGCGAACGCATAAATCATAAAACGTTACTTGCGAAGTTGTACCTTTATGGTGTTCGTGGGGTCGCTTTACAGATGATTAGAACTTATCTTCAAAACCGTCATCAGTGTGTTGAAATAAAAAAGAAACGATAAAATTTCAGGCCACTAACCGCCGGCGTACACCAGGGCAGCAACTTAAGGCCACTCTTCTTCAACTTGTATATTAATGATCTAGTAGATATTGACAATAATGTGAACTGCATTATTTATATGGACGATACGAGTATATCTTTTTTTCGGTGTTAACATATATAAAATCATAAGTAATGCAAACCATTATCTAATAAATTAAATGCTTGCGCATCATGAAATGCCCTGCAAATGAACATAAGTAAAACAAAGGCCGTGGTATTTAGATATCGAAATACAAATTGTCCTATCTGTGTACTTCTTTTTGGTAAAGGCGATATTCATATAGTTGAGAACGTGGAAGTCCTGGGGGTGAACTTTAATCAATACATGACTTGGAACGATACGGTGCAATACACATGTAAAAAGCTATCGAAGGCTGTGGGTACAATAAACAGATATCGCCACATGATTCCGATTTCGGCCATGATGCTCATTTAGAACTCTGTTTTTACGCTCATTATAACTATCGCTTTTTGGTATGGGAAAGTACGACTATAACTAATATCATTCAAATGCATATTCTTTAGATCATGCGCCACTTATTATGGACACTGATATCGTTGGTTCACTACCCTTGAACGCGGAACGCATTATTAGAAGAAAAGTTTAAATTTATGTCGCATTGCCGTACTGCGCCGTCGTCAGCTAAATTATACGGCTAACCTCCTGTTAGATTTTGCGCGCTAACGTCCAACCAAGTTTAGCGCGACGTCGCTGCCGATCACGTGGGCGCGTAGTTGGTGCAAATATAGGCCACGTGATCACATGGCTGATCTCACCACAAGTCATGTGGTCATGTGGCGTCACCCTTTGCCGTACCACACCATCAAGAGAGAAGTTCCGTTGCAGTCGGATCAAACAAATTCGCAGCGACCTCTATCTTCAAAGTCATGTATAAGGCGAGGAATGCATTATTAAAGGAGTGATTATTAGAATTTGCTGTTTAACGACACGACATTACGTTACCTGACGTCATGCGACGTATGCAGGTGACTTCACAGCGTCAGGTCGTATAATTTAACTTCGACATCACGTGACGTGACGCCACGTCACCAAATACTCCATACACAGCATAACCACATAACCACACACCCCATACGCCTCGTCGTAAGGTGTGCGCTGACCATAGAGGTAGAGGGGCTTAAAGCGATGAAATGGCATTCCGTTCACCAGGCAAAAGTGACCACCCCCCCCCCCCCCCCCCCGGGGCTGCCGCCATGTTGTACAATTTTGACCACTAGACACGTGATCGTGCCAAATTCTGAGGCCGTTACGCAAAAACGAGCCGAGATTTGTATTGCGATCGCTGTAAAAAACATGATGAGCTATTTTTCAATTCTGTGAGCCCCAGAGATCAGTGTCTAGCTCCGATAAAACCCAAAATACTGCACCGCGGCTGACGGTATCTAGCGGAGCCATTGTGAAGCTGCCCGAGTTTTTGTCGTAAGAGCATGTTTTGGACCCAAACAAACAAAACAGAACTTATCTCGTGGGTATACTGTTATTAAAGATAAATAAGCAATTATCTGTGCGCGGTACTTTGTTGAAATCGAGACGCCGGGTGGGGATCACTTTCAGCTGCCAGTTTATTGCTCTAAGCCCCTCTACCTCGTTGGCGCTAACGCTCGGCCTCGCAGGCAGGCATGTCTCTTAGAGTAAGAGCTTCCATTAGGCCCGACACCCGCTAGGGTGACAGACGAAAACAACCGACACCGGCAAGCCTCAAACACGTGCAGCATAAACACGACGGCACCTTTGGCAGGCCTGTAGTCTCTCGGTGCTCATGAAGTAAGCTCGAGTGTTTGCAAACCTTCCAAAGCTACCTTCGCGTGCATGCTGCATGTGTGTGAGGCCTGTCGATGTCAGTTGTTTCTGCTTGTCGTTCCAGTGGGACTCGTGCATAAAGGAAACATTATCTTGGTATTCATACGCCGGTAAGGTTTCCGTTAAAGGGAAGCTGAAACACATCTCCGAAAATTAGATAGAGGTTGATTCTACGCAGTTTTATCCCATGAATCTGAATATCACGTTCGTTTTCCACGAAGATGCTACACGCTAGAAAACACGAAAAACCAGAGACCAGTCGTTACATCATACCAAGATCTTTCAGCCGCCAAGCATAGAGTAATACGCCAAGCGCGTGTCTCTGTGCGAGCGGTGAGTGCGGTTGAAAGCTTGCCCGGAATATCCCCTGCACTGACACCAGACGTGCCGTCTTTTTCTGTCCTTTTTTTGAAAATAGCATCGACAGCTGGGAGACTCGTCGCCCCTGTGAGGCAGACCAAGTTCTAGGCTGTATAAACATACCAATTTATTTTTAAGAGTGCGCGTGAATAGCTTTGATATACTCCGTTTCCCCTTAAGCTGAGACTAGAAGCTCCGCCTTCAGCGCGAGCTCGCTCGCTTCCGCGGTGCTTTGGTTGCACGTGCTTGCGCGTTCACACTTGTGTAAGCAAGGGTAGAAAGCTTACCCTGAAGGCAGAGCTCCTATACTTTGTTTCACCTTATGTTGTACCGCAGAAAAGGCTAGAAGCGCGAGCTCATAGCGTTGGGAGCTGTTCTTAACGCACGACAGCTTCTGCTGCCGAGATGTGCCCTAGCCTAGAGCAAGGAGCTCGCGCTTGTAGTCTTTTCTGCGGTACATCTTAAGGTGAAACAGAGTATAGTCTGAGGTTAAAGGGGCGATGCGACGATTTTTGTACTTTGCGCAAATACCGCTTAGAACGAATCATTGACGTGAATTACCTGTGAAACACCTGTTCGTTTTTTACCACAGGAAATCGAAGTCGCAAAGCAATTAAAGAAAAACGAGCAGAGTTCACCCCTTCAACTCGCAGCCAGAACAAACGGTCACGTGATCTGGAGCCAATTATAGGCAGCAAATGTTGATCATAGCCATGCGCTTGGGTTGACAAGGCGCAGGACACGCGCTGAGTTCCAAACATCGTTATGGTTCGGCTATTGTCCTCTGTGCAGCGATTGGACACGGGTCACTACCCAAAGCTTCTCGAGCTATCGATTTTGACGAGCCCAAATCAAGTTCCCACGCAATGCTCGGGTCGGTCCAGTCTATGAGCCGCATTCAAATATCGTCGCTGGAGGATATTGCGATCCCCCAGTTACGTCATCAAGTTCCGCGAAGGAGAGATAATGAAAACGCTCGCTTTTGTCCTTGAAATTACACCGCAACAAAGGAGTTTATTAGCAGTTGCGTGCGAGTATCCTTGAGTCCCACTAGTGCCAGTAAGCTCGTGTAAAGTGAAAAACATTCAAATTGAATATCGCTGCACCGCCCCTTTAAGGGTGAACGGAGTATATATAGGTACTCAAGAAGCGCAAGATCGGTGATTCCGAGAACGCCTGCTTCGATGTCACGCTCCAGAAAGTAGGGGCTTCAGCGGTACATTCAAAATCATTTTCTGCAGCCTCCGTGTAACAAACCGAAAAACAATCTCGGTAGACAATTTAAGTGTTTTTCCTCAGATACAGAATCGCTTCAATTTCTTGTTGAAGCATTTCTTTTTTCGTGGCCGTCGCCTCGCGGCCAGGTTTGCGCATATATCGCTAACGCTTTCTGCACACGAGACGCTTTGGTGTTATATCAATATAGCGACTTTTTTTTAGACAAATCATAAACATAAAAAACTTGCCTCCTTTAGGCATTGAAAAGGTTGGGCTATCGTATGGATCCTGTGGAATTTTGTTGTACAGAGGTATTCATCTTTGTTTTACTTTCGAACCCAGGTACGAGCTCGTGGAGACGATCCAGACGACGGGCGTCACGTCCGAGATCTTGATTCGTCAAACAGACCGGCGTGACTCGGCGCTTTTCACCTGCGTGGCGACCAACAACTTCGGCCACGACGACACAAACATTCAGCTCATCGTTCAAGGTAAGCAGGTTCACACTACATATATGGTAGTGCGCAGAAGCTGACCACTGTAAAGCCGGGGTCACACTGCTTATTAGCGGCGAGATGTTTCGGTGGCGCCCTCGTTCGGTTACCTTTCGTGACGTCATTACCTTGTGAATAACAAGTTCGATGGTGTTTTTAATTGGCATGGTGGAAGCCTGAAATCATAGCGCTCTCAAAGCAACACTGCCAACACCGTCAAAATTGAAGTTCTAACATTCCTGTTATATCCGTCGATGAGAAATCCTTTGCTGACGTCATTGTCAGCATTCGGCCAATCGTGGCAGGCCGACCACAGCGACGCTTTCGATCGCTCACGTCGCCAATAGGGAGTATTCACTGGCGGCCATATCTGTGTGCGTGGTTGCTGAATGCGTGCTGACGGCGAGCTTCCACAGCTCTTTTGGAGCGTGCATTCCACACCATCAAGATTGTCAGTCTTAGCAGGCTATTAGTGTAAGCTCGTTTTGACGAATCCCCTTTGTACATATAATAAATACATTTCGTATATATATACATGCGCCCTAAACATCGCCCTCAAATATGGCGTCCGGTGAATGCCCAGGATAGTATATGGCATTTCTATACCTAGGTTTAATCGTAGTTCAGGGGGCAGTCGAAAGTCCAAAGAGACTCAACCGCATACACTCAGACCACTGTGTGACTCAGACTAAGAGTACAGTGTCACAGTGCCCTTTCTGCATTTGATTGGCTTAGCCGCAAAAAAAAAAAGTGAAAGATGTTGAGTCTTGACGGTGTCCTCGCGTCTCTTGATTAGAGCCACCGGCTTCTAGCATCCGCTGAGCTCTGAAGGCGTTTTATACCGTTATTCTATTCTCCTCTTTAGTCACCTCTTCTTTCGTGCACACCATTTTACCTTTCTTGTTTTAAATCCGCGCTTGTCCGCCATCATAATTGTTTCTATGACAGCAAACGGCGTTTTTTGAAGCATGTCGTTACTTTCCGCGAAGGGGCTTTACCAGCTTTAAGTAGTAGCCTTCTAGGACCACTGGTCTATCTAACCCCTCTGTATTTCCCATTTTTTTCATATCGGGGGAATATTGGTTATTAACAAAAAGACAAAAAAAAATACGAACATTATACGTAAATGCTTGCACTATTATAGAAAAACTAAAGGATTTGTGACAAACACGTAGCGCCCCTCCAGTCCACCCGTCGATGACCGCCAGGCTCGGCGGGCAACATTGGTCAGTCATCGTCCACCCTCACAACCAGGCTGCGAGTCGTTCACTTCTCGGAGGTGCTTCGGCACCCTTCGTCCACGATCCCGAAGAATCGTGACAGGATTCACTGAGACCCACCGTGGATGGCCTTCGCAAAAGAACGCTATAAATAGCTAAAAACGTAAAGGCCCGGGGGATCGGCACCATATAGTCGAACCAAGTTATTTCTTAGAGCTTGGAAGCAGGTAGCCAGATCAAGCTTTCAAGCTTTGACCCAGCTTTCAAGAATAAGCGCCCTGGGATATTGTATTTTTGATCTTCCTTGCAATGTTGTTCTAAGGTATATCTCATTATGGTGAGCATCAGTAAATTCGTTGTCGCAACACTTCGTTTCAGCTTGAGTACAGGCGCAGCCGACGCTGCGAGCTGATTGGACTAATCATACAGAGTCAAAACTTCGAGTTACACGGCTCTTCTCTTTTTATGACTGATTCAGCGATGATAGAACACGTACAGAAAAATGACGAACACCATGATGGTGCGCTTTTGATGCTGTCTGATTGGTCTCATCACCTCGTAGCATCCGTTCCGTCTGGACTTGAGGAGAAACAAAGTGTAGGTGAAAACTCAACAGCCCCTTTGCGTATTTTTTAAGGCGACAGCCTTCTAGGCCCAAGCACTCTCAAGGTCGTGTTATCAAGGTCAGGTCACGTAACGTCCGAGCATGTAGTGCTGGTGCGTAAGCTCGTAAGCGCCGGTCGCGTAAGCGCCGCTCGCGTAAACGCCGATTGCGTAAGCTCCGTTCTTGTAAGCGCCGGTCGCGTGAGATCGTAAGCGCAGGCAGCTGACGGTGACGTGAACTGGCGTCATTGACATCATCCTCGACTTCGTCCTATAGCTCGTCCTTGAGATCGTCTTAGAGGTCGTCCTAAAGGTCGTTCTAGACGTCGTCTTTGAAGTCATCATAAAGGCCGTCCTTGACGCCGTCCTCGATGTGTGTACGGCATATTGCAACCATTTCGTCACCGTACCCATTCCTTTCCTAAATGTTTTCAATAACGATATTCCTGTAAAGCTACCACATTTCATCGCGTTTGTCATCATGGTTAAACATGCAGCCAATTTATATTTTAGATCGCAGCTATTAGGCGCCTGTTCCCGGCTTGAGCGGCGTCGCCGTCGGCGTCGGCGTAACCGCGCGCGTCGCATTATGGGACGTCACAGTTTCCCCGCTAAAGTTAGCGGGGAAATTGAATTGGTGATTGAGGTCACGTGACGTCAATTTTCCCGCTAAATTTAGCGGGAAAATTTAGCGAAAAGTTTCCGCTAAATTGGAGAGGAGGAGGGGAGGAAGAGGGGATGGTACGGAGGAGGAAGAGGGACTAACCCTCCCTTCCGTACCCTCCCCTCCTCATCCTCAAGAGCTGCGCTCTAATTTCGCATTACAAAAAATGGTAAACATGTTTTTTTTTCGTCTTAACTTTTCTTTTTTTCTCTCTCTTTGGAGTAATGAACCGGTAGGCACCGTGTATACCGTGTACGCGCATGCCCTGCTGTGTTTCCCGGGAAAGCCTTCACCAATGGCCTTCCCCACGGTCAAGAAACGGTGGCGGCAATTTTATTCGCCTTTCATTGAGCCGCAATTCACCTTGGCCGGATATCCCTTTCCCCTCGCGCTACTCCATCATCCGTCAGCCGACGTGTCCGACCCCCTCCGCGCTCTCTGGGCCCTAACGCACTTTTGCATGCTTCTGTGTTTCTTATCCTTCGCTCGACAGTGGTGCGGGTCGAACGGCGCGACGCGCTTCGCAAGCTCCCCCCTCCCTCGCAGTACACGCACAGCTCGGTCTCAATATTCCGCGCTACATGTCTCGCGTCGCCAATTTCGACTCGCAACTTTTTTTTTTTTTTCTCAGACTCAAAGACAGAGCCAAAAGTGCTGCGCCCCGAAATGATTGACGGAGGTGTTCGGCGTGCACGCGTGTCGACTACATCCGCTACATCATCCCGAGCCCTCGACGAACGGCTCCGAAGTTGGCGAAAGTTTTAGGGGCGAAGCTCCTTAGGGTCTAGCCTTGTCCGGCGTCCGTGCTCACATCGATTACCATCCCGTCTGTTTTCTTAAGAAAAGAAAAAAATGTTTGCGCAGTCGACAGGATTCGAACCTGTGCGGGGAGACCCCAATGGATTTCTAGTCCATCGCCTTGACCACTCGGCCGTGACTGCGGGACGAGTAGGGGGTACTGAGATGTGGTAGTAACCCAAGAGCTGGGGATGTCATAGACGAAACGTTGCATGTAGCCGCTCAACGTCTATACAGGAGAGGGCGCTGCGGTCAAATGCGTATATAATTGCGTTAAACTTTGCATGCATTGGCTCAACGTTTATAGACGAGAGGGTGCTGCGGTCAAATGCTCAAATGCGTATATAACCACGTTCCATACCACACTTTTTCTTTCTGACAAGGATGAAAACGAACGAAAAGCTCGGAATGCTGCGGCTCAGCGCCTACGCAGACAGCAAACTGCTCCGGAGAGGATAAAAAAAATCAGCACCATCAGCACTACCTATGAATCAAATCAGTATCATCAGCACCACCAGAGCCCCAATCAACATCATTCACCACGCGGAGATGCGGTCTTTGTTTTTGTTTTTTTTTGCCTTTAAAGCGAGTTTTTGGCGCTATGGGAGACGAACTCTTTACGCAACTGAAGTTTAGTTTTCTTTCAGGTGCTTTGAAAAGAAGGAGAGAGAAAATAGGTAACAGACAGCAAATTATTCACAAGGAGAATACATTCTGCTCTGCTCATTTGCATCAAACAGCGCGCCTACAGCGCCGAACCCTCTACTAGCGGTGTGGAAAGACCGCGTCCGAGAAAACACGTATACGCATCGCGTTGTCCACGCCGTCGCGCTTTCGCGCTGCGCCGAGGGAGAGGGCTGCCTCCGACGCACCGAGATACCGGATTCGCTGACGCAGCAGAGACGGCCGTTTCGCCCAGCCACCTCGACGGGTCTCCGCGACGATAGATGGCAGCAGCCGTGCCTCGAAATTCAAGATAGAAAGATCCAGAAGCTGCGCGCGTCCATCCGTTTCAACTACGCAAAAGCTGTCGGCGCCAAGGTTCATAAATTTTCGCGGAGTAAGCTATACTTTCTGGCAAAATATTTGTAAAGACTGTCACAAATATTCGCGATTTTGATATGTGGACGCTATTCTCAAGTTATATTATAGCATTTACTGCGTTTCCATTGGAGCCACATTACTGTGATCTTTTAGGAGCGTTGTGTATTTTCTATAGTGACGTAACGTTACTTTCTCTCGTCTTTTCAGAACCTCCGGACGCTCCTCAAGACCTCAAGGCTATGGAGACGACTAGCAGGAGCGTCAAACTGGTGTGGACCGCGCCGTACAGCGGAAATAGCCCAATCACCCACTACACGGTCCAGTACAAGGACGACGGATGTGAGTTGGCTCTTTGTTTAGGCGGGAGCTCCGGTGTTTCCTTGAGCCACCCAAACTAACCCTATTTTCGGAACACCCAGGCTATATGTACTCTCTCCCGGCGTATTTATTACCACCACACAAAATATATATTTTAGAAAAGAGCACATGAAGTAGAAGTTAAATACTAACATTGAAATTTTCCCTTACCCTCCAGTGGCGAGATGTCACGTGTTGTTTAACTTTCAAGACGAGCAGGCATTCTAAAAAACGCCGTACTTTGCGCGCTCTTTTCATTTTCTTTTATTTGGTAGCGTAAGTTTCTTGTTTTTTTTTCATCCGTTTTATAATACTAAACTTCTTGTAACTCGGCGGGAACAAGTGTAGTGCCAACACTGACCCCATATATCATAACTGTTGGCGTCACGTTTGCAGTGTTGCCATTAGGGCATGTGGAAGTGCGAGGTTGACTCAGCGTATATTGGGAGAGTCTGGCCAGTAGACGTGGTGACGAAGTCGCTGGAGAGAAGAAAATTGAAGGACAGGGGGAAAGCGCCGAAGGAGCGTGAGAGGAAGCAGGGAGCAAAGAGTAAACAACCGCCATTTTGACGGAACACGCTTTCGGCGCAGAGCACTGTTGGGGCTACGCGTCGTCTGCTACAGGCCGTCTTCTTTTTTCGCTGAATAATAATTTACGATCAAACGTCAAAAAAACTCCATTCTTTAGCTTTTTAACCCACCGAGGAATAACACGTACTATATCATTTTGTTGTCAAAGCTAGCGAAATAAAAAAAAAACAACGAAATTTGAGTGTCGATCTCATGCATTCCACCGGGCGAATGAATGAAAATGGCGGCCCTCCCTTCACTGCAGTGAGCAGCGTGGAGTTCACGCGCATGCGCTCGCGCCCCTCACTCGGCGCCGCGGGCTGATTGGCTCACTCGGAAGGGGGGCGTTACGCAGGCGAGATCATAAACTGGCCAAACTCTCCAAATATACGGCTCGGCTGGGATGACTAACCTTAAAACGACATCTGTAGGGCATCGCCTCAGAGATGTTGTGCAGAGAGATCATACGGGGAAGAACAGACGTGCTCTTGTTCTCGGACCCAATTTGAAAATTTAATAGGAGCTAGAAAGAATATATATTACTGTGACTCGCGATGTTCGGTATTAGTTCAGATCTGTCTATTAATATGCTGCATAAATTTTGAGGCAACTCGGTGATTCCCAGAAAGTTCGACTGAGATGCTTACATGACAAAAATAAAATGAGATAACTATACTGCTAGGACCCCTTGCGTGTTCCTGAATGTTTGTTAAATTTGTTTTGAAAATGGCGTGTTATTTTCGTGAACTAATGGATTTATATCCGGACCCTCGGATCAGCCCGATTTGAAAAGTCCACCTTGGTTGATGAGACGGTGACGTCTTTTGCCTAAAGCGCGTCGTCTACTTGCGCGCACTGGCAGACTCGGTTCTCTCTGCGTCTCGCTCTTCAACTTCCTCGTTTACCTTCCGAGTCTTGAGCACTCGGTTTCAAGACGATGACCTGTACGGCATCGCTCGCTTCGTCAAGGTCTTTTTGACACTGGTCGCAGCAGCGATCAGAGTGATTGTTATGAAGAGATGTTGAAATCTGGTCGTTCTGACTTGGACCTGGTGGCGACCAGCTCAAGCGACGACGACGAGATAGTCACGGACGAACTCACTATCGTCCGGACGCCCTCGCACGTCTATGCATGGTGGAAGGGAAAAACGCAAGGGGGTGAGAGCGAGGGTAGCACTGCAGCAGCCGAGAAGCGTGACAGTGTGCGGCCATACCGTGACGAGGCGAGCTAATTGGACGACCATCGGGGCACCTAGTATGAAAAGATCGTCCAACTAAATATGATGATCATGTGGTTTATGTTCCCTATGTGTGACCAACTCGGGCAGTGTTGCCTGGTCGCCCGACAAACATTATCAACATCCGTAACTTGATTATTGCAATCACTTTGAGTCTCAAAATTGCGAAACTTGGTGTATACACTAAGTAGCCTACGAGCAGTTAACTTTAAGAATAAGCTACCCGTTTAAATGTTCTGTGTTAACGTCTTTAAAGGGGCCCTCCAACGATGTTTGAACTGGTTTAAATTTGCGGTAAAACGGACCTCATCGAACGCAAGAACATGGGGGAAAACGTTTTCTTACGGAAATTTGAGTTATTTTGGGAAGTTATAAGCAAATTAAAATTACAAAAAAAAAAAATCAGACATTTCTGCTCCGTGACGCAGTCGCAAAAATTAAATTATCAGAGGGTTGGAGCGAAACGCCTGGCAAATTGGCCGCGAGTTGTGGGCATGGCTGCTGCGCCGAGAACCCGCGCGCAACGTCGTAAGTTCCGGCTCTGAACGCGATCGGCGTTACCCATGGACCTGGGCTGTTTATACTTCGGCGTCGGGAAAACCCAACGCGCGCCGGCGCAGAGCGATCTTCGTCGCCCACTGCGGCTCGCCCCGTTATAGAATCCAGCGCGGTAGGATCAAAGCATCGACTCGGCAGAGGGAGTTGCAACGTGATAGGTTAAAAAGAAAAGGAAGTGCTGGCGATAAAATTGAAAAGAAGCATTTATTGTCTACCGAAATTCATACAAAAATCACGCAAGAAAAAAAAAATAAGAAGAGAACCCGATCTCGCCTCCTTTAAGGCATCTGTCGGTCGGCTTTGACGGCTTTGATGCAATCGCGTTTCGGAGCAGCCTTCGAGGCTAACCTACGTATAACATAGAAGGGTGCGTATGATGATTCCTAAATCACGCCATTTACGCGCTCGAAATTCTAGCGCTCCCCCAAATGAACATTCCGGGCTAGCTGCAAGCCGCTTCTACATTTGGCATTTGTTGTTTCTAGCTGGAACACTGCCGGCGAGATACGGCTGGTTTGGCTGGTGCCGCCACTGGCAAGAGGGCGTCTTTTTTCCGCCTTTTTTCGCCTCGTTTCTGCACAATTTAAATATGTTTCTTTCTACCTTCCACTTCTCTCGCTCAATAAAAACGCTTTCTTTAAATAATGACGATGGAACAGACCGATACACGTTGTTTAGTCCGGATTTAAAAAAAAAAAAAATTCTGATGGCTCTTGCCGAATGCCAATCACAAAATGCTTACGCTGATGTCAATGGCTGCGCGTTTCGTTAAGCTGTTTTTTCTTTTTTTTTTCTTTTTTTCTTATCAAATCAAAATATGATGCGTTAATATTTCGTAGCTACTACTTTTTCTCCGAGCATCCGGAACCACTAATAAGGTAATGACATGAAAAGATCAGAAGCTCAAATGTCATATTTTGCTAGCTAAGTTATTACATGCCAAGATCTCACTGGTTGCGCGCAGCGTTACCAAATGTACAGGGATAAGATTGTCACCTACAAGTTGCAAAGGAGGGAAGAAAAAAAACTCCCGCGTCCCTCTTATCCGAACCCTCTTTCGTGCCCCCGCCCCCCCCCCCCCCCCTTTCCCATTTCCGTCGCTTTTCTCCTCCTTGGAGATCAAAATTCGTGCAAAAGCGGTTGTTCCTCCCTGTTTGTCACGCATGGCTTCTACAGCACTGCGGGCAACTATAGTCTGTTGCAGGTCAAGGAACCTGGGCAAGCTGCTCCCGCCAAGCCCTCCGCTCCCTCCTCTTTAGCAGAGCGAGCGCTGGAGAGGAGGCGAGTCCCTCCTCGTCTCCTCTTTCCTTTCCAGGTTCGCGCTGTTAAAGAGGAAGGAGCGGGGGGCTTTGCGCCTTTGCGGACCGCAAGTTGGTCTGCTTCTTGCGCAGGAGTTGTGTTCACACAAATAGTAGAACTCTGATTGGCTCTGATTGGAAGAATAGTGGCTCAATGTTAGTTGGCCCGCTATCCTTCTGATCAGAGCCAATCACAGCTCGGCGTTCTGACTTCACTTCAGCCCCTGCGGAAGAAGCGGACAAATTTGCGCTCCGCATAATTAGATAGAGCAATAAAGGAAATGGTATCTGCCCTTTACAGTAGAAGTTTGCGCGAAGCCGCGCTGCAAAAGCCGGTCTGGCCACAGTAGATGGTAAATGCTTCGTTGGGTCACCAGTCTGGTAGCCGTGGGGACCTCTTAGCGAGGCTTAACTGTCCGGCCATCTACACGATCGAGCCAGCAGCAAAATGCCGGCTTTCAGAGTCATACGTGCAAACGTCGGCAATTTCTATCCCCGTGTGTTCTGCCACGTCTTATCGATGTGTACATCGTTGTCAGGCGGGCATTAGAGTTACCGTCCTCGAACCTTCCGCCATCTTGTGGCGAACGTGCTAGAGGACCATCGGATTAATTAATCGGATCTTCTACCACGACCAACGTGTTTCCACTTTACTTATATACACCAGGCTATGGTCCCGCTTACGTCCTAGCGGGGGTCAAAAGCTACACTCCGTTTCACACCAAGTCCGGCCGGAGCCGACAACACGATCCGATGAACCCCATCAAGCAGCACCAAAAGTACTTGGTGATCGTCGTCTTTGTGCACTTCCTATCCCCAATTTAACCAATCACGCGCACGCAAAAAAGCGCAGGATTACGATGCATTCGCTGTGCGTGATCGGTTTAACCGGCGATAGCAAATGCACAAAGAGAGCGAACGCCGTGATGAAGGTACTTTTACAGCGAAGCTGTTTATAACTAGGGTTCCGTGGATTTTTCGTGTGCTTCAACAAAAACCCTCACACCCTCTCTTTCTCGTCGTTCTGAGCGATTGCGTGCCTAGTTTCCTTCCGCACTCCCGGGGTGGCGGTCCCGTCGCGCCTGTCTACTTTCCGCCGGCTCCTCGGGTCGACGATAGTTCGCACCTGTGTTCAAAATTCTGTGCCACGTCTTTGTCATGTGCTAAACAGCTTCGCTGGTCATTCATCTTCTCAGAGTGAAATGGCTCATGATTTTTACGCTGCTTGATTTGCTCTATTAATCCGTACCACCGGTTGCGGTCGGGCTTGGAGTGAAACCGAGTATAGACAAAAATCCCTAAGCGTACTCCTTAGGACATTGCTGCATTTGAGGGGACTCCCTCGCCGATACCGCCGTATACGATTACCTTTCCATTTACAGCCAAGTGGCACGCCAAGATGATCAACCTAAGCACTTCGGCCACGGAGACGTCCGGAACAGTGCGGGGCCTCAAACCTGCGCTCGTCTACCACTTCAGGGTCTACGCGGAGAACAGGATAGGTCGCAGCGACGCCAGTCATTCTGTCAAGGTCACGACGTCGGAGGAAGGTACGTACGATGGAATATTGTACAAGTTTCTCCAAAACAGAAACGAAAGCTCGTTTCTCGTTCCTTCTCAATCCTGGAACGAGTTCCCCCTACCAGTTCCAATGGGTCGAAAGGAACGCTTTCCCGTTACGTTTCTAAGCTTGGAACGTGTCGTTACCTTGAGTTTACATTTTCGTATTTTAATGAAATATTGTGCCGGATAATACGTAGATAAAATAAAGCGAGCAATTGAAAATAATCTCATAGAACTGCGTGGCGTGCCGCCACGGTCACATTTGTTCCAGTTATTTTGTTTTCGACTATCTCTCGGACGGTTTCCCATTCCTTTCGAAGTCAGAGTTTGAAATAACCGATAATAAAAGGCGAAATCTCTACTAAATTTAGGCATAACTGTAGATATATTTAAAAACGAAAATAAAAAAAATTTGTTCTCGCAGTTATTCCAAAAGTATAACTAGTTCCCGCTCCAGTTCCACCAATGCAAGATGTAACGGCGACCTTACTCTGTTCTTCACAAAAAGAAACGCGTTTCGGGAACGTCGTTCCTCTACTCTATCTCTATAAAGCCAAATCCTTTGAGACATGCGGCAACCTTTAATTCGCATGACGTGCCATGTTTTAACCACTTTCATTCCAAGCGTGACGTCCTGTTTCACGTGAGCGTTGTGGGTTTAAATTTTCTGTGAACTCACGATCCTATCGACCAATCAGGATTTTCCTGTCACAACGCCGACGCCGGAATTTTTGTGTCACAAGCTTTTTAAGTTGCTTCGTCTGGAGAGCGACCTTCTTACTTTAATAACGTTGCACGCGCAGCCGAAGCCCAAGGTAGGCAAAGAGCGAGCGCTGTATTCGGATCCCCTACTGGGTCCTTAACCTGCCATCGACTATAGTGACTCACACGATATATACTGGAACTTGTTAGATATATATAATGCATTAAATGGTGGTAACACTTTCCTGTCTCAATAAAAACTGCGTTGTATCAGTGCATGAGCAGATGTCTCTTTTCAATATATAGAGTCATCTCGCGATAATCATAGGAGCTTCAAAACTTTTTGGTGTAATTCCTGAGACGGAAGCCCAAAATTTCTTAGAGCACGTATCCTCAGTCTCGTGAATAGAAGGCGACGTCCATAAGCCCATTTTTGGGAATCGATAACCTGCTTCCTCCTCTGCATTCTGTTTTCTTGATATGAAGTTTTTGCAAGATGGCTCCATTAGAGCGTTGGTTCCGGCTCTTAACAAGATGAATATAACGACCTCTCGAAAGGTTTAATTGCCTAATGGCAACCACTCGAGACGCTCTTTACTTTCCTGCTTGTTAAAACGACTATTGACAGAGAAAACGGCTTCGCGATAATCTACTGATGAGGATTTTTAAAAGATTGTTCTAATAACCCCGATGACGATACCCGATGTTCCTCTGGGGCCTGTGCTCACGCATTATTCCTATCGTCGTTGATTTTGTCATTGGCGGTATCGGAACGATCTACCAAATTTTTTTGGTGTTAGACCGAAAACCCAAGAAGTGGCCAAACCAAGTCTGCTGCCAAAAGTCCCTTCAAAGCCTAATGAAGCAAAATAGCCCAGCCAACTCGTTGGATTCTTTACAAACGTCATGGTATGCTAGAAGGCCACTTACTACCGTGAAGGCGTAGGCAATGGGGCAATGGGAGGAAAATAGCACACCTCTTGGCCCTTCGTGATTCCAAGCTGTAATTCAATTGATTTTATCGTTACTCGAGCGATAGAAATTTCAATGTCCCCCTATTGCTGTTTTTTTCAGCTCCCGGCGGTCCTCCCACCAAGGTCAGAGCACAGCCTACGAGCTCTCGGTCTCTGAAGATCACTTGGAATGTGAGTTCAACAAGACACACTATACTTTGTTTATTCTGGTCCGCAACTTGTTTTTATGTACCCAATTTGTCTAACCTGGCGGAAGTCTGTTTAACTTGTAAGAGGAACTAAACCAGTTGTACACTTATCCACCAGGAACGCTTCACACTACCAGTGACTAAACAAAGTCTTGGCTAATTGGCATAAATTTGAATGGATCATATAAATGCATAGTGCAAGGGAAATAAAGCGAGGCAAACACGGTCGGTGCGGTCAATTGAACGTCAACATTCAACCAGGTATAGCGATAGCGTTATTAATGCAAAAGCATTAGGGAGTTTTCGTAGATCGTTTTCGTCATCCCGTAACACCCTCCGCAACCCGTTACAATACCCGAAACTCCACAGTCAAGGGCATCGGCGCGCAGGCGCAGTAGCCGCTTCTTGGTTGCGGAGGGCATAGCGGAGAGGAAAAGGCGGTCTACGAAAACTTTCTATTAACGTCCCATGGAGCGAAGCCGGTTTTTGTTGTAACCATCTGTAGCAGCGAAACGGCAGTTAAATTCCCATTAGCCAATAGCGCAGCAACGCAGATGCTCGTCACGGAAGCCCGCGGGGCGCTCAAGGTCAAAGTGGACGCGCCTCAAAAATAAAACAAAGAAAAGCACAGCGACACAGATGCATCGTCATGGAAGCCATGGAGCCGACGGGGTTCGCCGCGCCTGCGCAGTGGCGGAGCGACTGATGCCACCGCCGGAGAACCACGTCCGATATGAAGACGTGGCGCGCTACTTATAAGCATGCACTGCGCGCAGGAATGCTATCGCATTCCTGTACGTAAGTAGTCTTATTTGAATGATTGGTTCCTTCATATGCGAACTCCGAACGACTTCGCAGGCTCCGAACAAGGAACTCCACTTCGGCATCATTCAAGGCTACTACATCGGCTATAGGGTGGCGGCTACTTCGGAACCCTACATCTACAAGACACTGGAGTCCGAAATGGACGCGGGCGAAGGCTGCGTGCTCACGGGGCTGTCCCGCTTCACGCAGTACAGCGTCATCGTGCAGGCGTACAACAAGAAGGGTGCCGGGCCGCCTTCAGACGAAGTGGTCGTCCAAACACTCGACAGCGGTGAGAAAAGACCTGAACAGAATTTTTAAGATATACTAATAGCATTCGTGTAAAAAAGTATTGAGGTTCTACCGAAATCGCGATCACCAGGTTAGCATGCAGTGAAGCCAAAATATTGGACACGGTAATTTTCAGGCCTTAATACTTGCTTCATTTATATTGTATAGGCTGGGTCAAACGTCCTCTTTGGGAAAAAGTAGTACATTAAAATATACAAAATTTTACGTTAACAAAAAACATCGCGAAATATATTCACAGAATATTTACTTTTCTAATAGTGTATTGAACATAAACTACAACCATGAGTAACTTAGTTGCCAGACTGGGTCAACGCGCGGACCGCATCACTGAAATAACAAGTGCAATAAAGGGATATTAAGAAATCTACTTCAGATATTAAAAGTATACTAAAAATCTACTTTAACCGTGCTTTTTTTCTTTCATAAAAGTAAAACAATTAGCATGCTTTGAGTTTATTAATTCTTAACAAAAGGTTAAGTTGAAGTTCTTGAATGTTCCAATGTTATGAATTATCCTGGATAATCCCCGGACACGGAAACCCCAATTGAAATCGCAGGTTTCGGATTGATACTAAGCAGGACTTCCCAACAAATTGTGATTTCTCGAATGTTGAACGGGCACTGAAGTCATTTTTCGAAAAAGTTCGTTTTTGATCTCATATCTTTTTTTTTTTTAATGTGTTTGTTCTCACATTTACAAAGTCCTATAGACCTTTTCTGCAAGTGCGCAGCCATCTTGAATTGACGTCACTTCCAGTATGGGCGAAAGCATTGTTTTGCCTTTGTCACGCCAATAGAAGGCATTTAGGATATAAGCGTAACCGTCACACTTTCTCGTTTTGCCTCCCTTTTATTTTTTTACTATTTGTAGGTTTAAATTTTGGATTATTTTTTCATCGCCCATACCGGATACGCCTATTAGGTCGCTGGGGACGAGAGTACACAGAAAAGGTCTATATTACAAAACCGCCTATCCATCTCAGGGCAAGAAATATGAACACGTGGACTCTTTTTTGTCGCGGACTACACTCTGTGGACCAATGAAAGTCCTACAATACGCGCAAATTCCAAATTATTTTAATATAACTCATTTCGATTAGAGTCTGATAGGTGCACATTCGGATAAGACTCGTCTTGTTCACCGAGGGCGAAGCCATCGCTTGCAACTCGCCGACCATCGCCCTTCATCGACCACTTCACTCGGAAGAAAATTCTTCCCAAGAAGGGCGTGTCGCGTTCTTTGAACACGCTTTTAACGAGAAAATATGCTACGCACCATTGTGATTTTGGGTTTGTTGGGATGCTTAGAGCGTCTAGATTGAGTTGTCATCACAAAAGGACAATCTCAAGGTCGATCTGTGTCCCTTTAAGCTAACTATAATCCGGCCGGTTCTGGATCTGGCGGAATCAAATTTACCTACGCATTTTCAATCCTCGGTGATTCTGCGGCTTCCAAATCTAGGGGATCTAGATTGCCGGAGTAGAAATTGCGATTTGACAGAACTTTCTGCAGAAATATTGGCTCCGGAACATAGTCTCATTTTGAATTTAGCCGGTACCGGTCGACGGATTCGTTCGCTCCTGGTCGACAGGTGTTTTCCCGACTGCTTGCCTGCTTCGGTTATTTTGTTGCACGTTGACTTCAGTGATCTTGTGTTTTACTCCAAACACTATTGTATTATTAGTGCACTTAAGAACTTTATGGGCGTAAGTCATTGCAGTTGGTGCTGCTCGACTGTTCAAAACTTTGAAGGACAGAAATGAACAAGGAAACAAGTTCTGTTTATACTTCACTACTTTAGAAACAAACGCGATGCATCTTTAGCATGCCTTTAGCTTTGCTTTTAACTTTCTCAATAAGAGCAAGTGCCTACTCAGTTTTCTTAGATCGTTGCGAGGGTAAAGTGTCGGATCATGCCAAAGTTGGATACTGCAGTTTTTCCTTCGGCGGCACTTTTTGCACTTGAGAGGTATGAGTGTAGGAAAACGCCTTACAATTTCTGGTACATTCCGGTAGTACGAATACAAGAACATCTTACCAAATTAACTATGGTCTAACATGATCTGTTTGCTTTCTCATTGACACTAGATCCACCCTCTGCGCCGTACCTTCACGCGGAAGCAACATCATTCACTTCAGTTTCGATCAAGTGGGAGCGACAGTCGGGTGATCAAAACCCCGTTGCAGGTGAGCCCGGAATACATACTCAGAAATAAGCGGTGCGAGTATAAAATAAAATTATTCAAATTGTATGTTGAATCACAATATGCCGCTAATTATAATATATGATCCAAAATGAACGCCCACTCGCAGGGAAAAGGTGGGCGATCATTCGGTGGTCAAAGTTAGATCGGGGTTCTACGGTACCGTTTTTTTTTTTTTTTCTTTCTTGAACTATTCTCCTCGTAGAACTATAGTTCCGACCGCAGGGACATAGTCTGTACCCGGTGTACATTCCGCACGTAAAAACTCCTGCTACACGCCAATCTTGACGTATGCCGGCTTTGTTAGCTCACAAAGAAGCCTGCACCATGCATAAATCATCATTAACATACTCTTGAATTTACCAAACTTCGCCAGGCCTCGTCATAATGAAGAATTTAGAAGAAACAAATCCTTGTATAATCCGCGCACACCGAGTAAGTTTTTTAACTTCTAAAACATATTGATTCTACGGACTATAGTCTCGAATAAACAGCATATAGTAGATGTGCACTGCGCGACACTGTTGGTCCGAACAAGAGATAGCAGGCTCTATCGTTTTTTTTTTTTTTTTTAATCTCTTATCTCTTTAAGCCAAATATTTGCCACAATCACTACTAGTGTAGTGGGAAGTGTTCATTTGGGGTTATAACATAAGCATTAGAATTTGATGCCCGCCATTACCTTTCTAAATAAAATTCGAAAAAGATACAATGTCATCTTCGCGCTTCAGTGTCGCGCAGCGTACAGATTGCTCAAGACGTTTCGGCGGAATTTGAACCAATGTTCACAACTTTATATATCGGCCTTAAATATTAAAAAAAATATTAAAATTAAGCTTTAATAAAATGTATAGATACTTAACAACGTGATTAAAGTTGATACATTTTATAAAGTGGTACATTTAGAGTTCATAAAACCATAGAAGACGTTTTTACCTAGTCTTGGTTCGTGAACGCTTTGTTAATTCTACAAGTTCCTTACGTGAAAAAAAAAACTCCAATGACCCGCGTGTATTAAGAAATTGATCTTTTTAGACAACAGAAAACGTTCTGCAGCGTGGTTATCCAAAACTAATCTAAAAAAAGTTTCCTTCTGCTTAAATTGTACCTTAAAGATATCATGAATTATACAATATTATATCCAGATTTGTACAACCCTTAACATACAAAAGACAGTCTGCCAGACATTAGTCACCACGATATCCGTCGTTCGAATGCCGTGTGCCAAGTTTCTCCTTGAACTCGTTGCCATGAGGCATTCGGAGCACGGATCTCGTGCTGGCTTGCATTGGAATGTTTGCAGACTTTCATTTGTATGATGTATAAGCAGTGTAGCCCTGGCTTCACAGAAATCTCGTATATCACAAGCCCAAAGCAATGCACTCAAGCTTCGCAGAAGAGTTGCCAGTATTGCTCAACCGGAAGGGTTTTATAATCCCATATAAGAGCGCGCACCCACCGTTCAAATGAAGTTGAAGTGAGATCATACGCGTTTGTACCTTTATATTACCCGTCATATTGCCCAACTGTTTTGTTCTTTTTTTTTTGCATATAGTAGATTGCATTTTCTAGGGCAAAATATTTATTGAATCAAGATGACGTCAAAAGTGCATTCTAGGACTTTATCAACACTGGAAGTCCCTACTTCTATTGGGATACTGTTGAAAAATTTTCATCCCGTTGAAAACGATGAGCGATTCAAATGCGGCTAATTTCGAGGAAATACGGTGATTAACGGCCGGTTATGAAATTGTGTGTTTTGATCTGGTATACAGTCGACCTTTAAGACACTAGAGTGACCTGAAAGGACGGGTAAAAAAAATTGTTCAGTTCTCTTACGGACCTAGGCAGAACTTATATTTCTTCAACGTTTGGTTAGCATTGAACTGGAGAGAGAATTTACCAAAATAGAGGACTTCATTCATTTTCACTGCTAAGCTTCGATGCTTGGGTATGCATGCAGTCCGCATCATGATCATTTAGACCTATTCAAAAATGTGACTGATTTGAAAATACAATGCTTTGAGGATCAGATTTCACAACAATGTTGAGATTCTTGAATTATATTAATATGAATCCACGGGAATATAAAAAATCGTAAGAAAGAAGAAGAGATATTGAAAACGTGCGCTTCGACCTTCAGAACACAGGTTAATTTAAGATATATTCAACGAAGCATATATTGTATTATCTTACATTGAGTGAAAGGGAATTCTATTTTGATCGTTTTGTTTTAACGTATAAATATTTTTGAGTAATACACATCTTCGTTGTGAGGCACTTTATATTCAGCTTTAAAATATTTCAATCGCTGGATTATTTGTTTCGTCAGAGATCCGTTGTTATTTATTGAACTTGCTAATTCTAAAAAAGTTCCCATTACCCCTTAAAATTATGTGTAGCTAGTCTGAGGAAAATGACTCCATCATGGCGTGAATGTCGCCTACGAAACACGTCCGATCTAAAACCGCGTTTCAGTTTAGTGAATCTGGAGACTTATCGTTCATATAATCATTGAAGGCGTTTTCATCTTATTTTTATTTTTTTGGTTCCTGAACGTTTTAACCATTTTGAGAAAGAATTGTGACACGTTATCTGACACACATTATTTAGATTAACTCTAACTCACCCCACCGACCATTGTTCCATCGACCTTACATTTCAGGTTACGTCGTTCGTCATAAAGAGTCAGGAGGAAGCGGAGACTGGCACGAAACGCGCGTGCAAGGCGACCAGAACGCACTCACCATCGGTGACCTCAAGTGCGGCTCGGCGTACCAGTTCACGGTGCGTGGATACAACGCCGCCGGTGCGGGAGACACCAGCGACGTGCTCACGGTCAAGACCAGCGGCGCAGGTAGAGCCCCTCGAATCCGCTTCATTTCTCACAAGCCTAGCTGGCAGACACTGTGCCGAAGAAACCCCGCCAAAGAATAGTTCGAGCCTTTGCATCTGCGAAATTTTGACGTCATCGCCGTGAGATCGATCGAAGACGCTGATTGGACACGAGTGCTGTGTCAGCATTCGACTGGGCCTCGTGGCCAATCAGCGCGTCGAAGGACGCTCGGCATGGGGCTCGGGTGCGTATATGCCAAGTCGGCGCCATTCGACCGCGATGAAGGTTCATGGAGGAAGAGGAAATCGTCCGCATTCCTCAATTACTATAGGTGGTCTTGGATAAACGCAGAGTCGCACGCGTTGAGGCGTTGCCACCCGACATCCCAACTTCTTGCCGTAAGTCACGTGAAACCATAACGCCACGTGACGTGGCACGCACACCACAGACAAAATTTAAATCTGACGGGTAATTCCGTTCGTGGAGTTGGAGCGGTTGTAGGGTTCTCTCTTCGTTATCTTTCTGTGCGTTCAAAATTGTGCCCGCGTATAGTGCACTAGGGGGGCGACCACGGATCGATATTTTTATCACTCCACCGAGGGAATTCCACTTGAGCCAGCTTCCGTTACGATGCAATTCTGCGGCGTCTCTTTTGCACCAGCGCCCGTGCCACCGGACCGGCAGTCCCTGCTGCACTACAACGCGACCAGGGCAGTGGTGCAGCTGAGCACGTGGCACAGCGGGGGCTGCCCGATCCAGCAGTTCACGGTCAAGTACCGGCGCCAGAAGGACCTCGAGTGGACGACGCTGCAGACCGGGCTCCTCCGGGACAAGCGCCTCGAGATCCGGGACCTGTCGCCCGGCACCTGGTACACGCTCCAGATGACGGCGCATAACAGCGCGGGGGTCACCGAGGCCGAGTACGCCTTCGCCACTCTCAGCAAGCACGGAGGTGAGCCGCCATTAGGGCCATTACGTGTGCGCGCTGCCGGTCACCCACGGCTTCAGAAAAGTAGGACGTGACTTATGACGTTTATCGCTTCGTGGTTCGTTATTGGGCGTTCTCGTCGGCCAGTGCCGCTGTCTCATTGCCCGAAGAGCGACGGTAAAATGTTTGGTACAGTTTGTACTCTTGCGTGCTTACGCGTACAGCTTAGGTTTCTGCCTAAGAGGATCCTAAAATTAATTTACGCATCCTGTTTCTTGCTCTCATGTCCGTCTCTCGACGCACACTATACTCACAAAGCGAAGCGTGCACGCCCTTTTCACAAGGGCGCCGCCATCTTGAATTGTCGTCGCTTCCAGTATGGGCGAAAACATTTTTTTGCCCTCGCCACGCCAATAGAACACATTTAGGTGTAAGCGTAACCGTCACACATCCTCGTTTTGCCTCCCCGCTATATCTTTTTTATTATTATTTATAGGCTGGGCAATGTTTTATCATTTTTTCGTCGCCCATACCGGATGCGCATATTAGGTGGCGGGGTATGAGAGTACACGAAAAAGGTCTATAGTGCCCCAAGTACATTTTTTTTTTTTTTTTTACCGTATATAATATTTTAGGGCTACCCCCAGGGTGGAGGCTAAGAAAATCAAGATGATTTAAATCAGGATCTAAATCAGATTTATATCTCGATGTAAATCAAACCAGCTTTACTATGATAATTTAAATCGAACCTTTTCCGCAAAAAGAATCCCGAGAACATTTTTTTATTTGCCGTTTGCCTGTTACCTGATGTTTTCTGTGTGCATTTTTTTTTCTATATAAATCAAATAATTAACATGAAAGGTTTTTATCAAGTTGCACACGAGTAAAAAGGCAGTGCTTTTCCAGCAAATGGCATCGTTGAGCTTTCTTTCTCTTTACACTTCGTTGGTCCCTTACGTGAAATCCTATTGCAAGCAGATCACAATACGATATAAAAAGCAAATGAAGCATTTTAGTGAGCGTGGAAATCTAGCGGTTTTTTTTTCTTATGAATAAAAAGTTGCTAATTGTAATATGCTATATTTTAGGTTACAATAACTCTTTCTTCGGCGTTCTTCTTAGTTATTGGACGGATGGATCAATGAATATGCAATGTTTAAATATACATTTAGTGATAAAAATTCCATATTTCTTAGCTGCAAGGGTTTAAATGAAATTATTCTAGTTTAAATAAGTAAATGTTACTTAAATCAAAAAAACCTGATTTATTACCTTTCTTAAATCTTTTTTGTTGCGTTTTGCCGTGAAGTACAGGGTGAGTCAAAGGCATCAATGGTAGTTTGATGAAATGGCATAAATCAGTTTCTGAACGCCTCGCGCTAAGAATTTACAAAGATGTGGCCGGCGAACGTGCAATAATGAAATAAAAAGTTCACTCAACAAACTTACTCGAGTAAGTTAGGATTCAAAAACTCGAAATATCTACCTCCTGTGGCGACGTGCTAACCAATGGTGTCTGATTGGCGTAACAATCGACAGATGTCAGCAGTGCTCTCTGCGTCGACAGGGGGTCGGCGCAGAGCTTTCCACTTTAGGACCCGTTAGAAAAAGAAAAAAAATCGGTAGTGATTCATGCTCCGGGACAGATTTAAGAAACACACCCTTCGCGCTTTATATGAAATGCATTGGTTATTTACGTGTTAAATTTTCGTATACACTTTTGTCTCGTTGATGTTCATTTATAATCTCCTACGCGACGTTTTTTGACCAACGGTTAATCGTATTTTGGATGAAATGATTGCATCTTCAGCACCCGTACTATTTTAACTCCGGCATCAAATCCTTGGCTCGTGCCATCAACGGACAAAATATAAAAGGGTGGCCACAGAACTGACTTCATAAAACATTCAAAACACCCGGCGGGACAAATTTGAAGCTGAATTCGAAGTCGAAAAACATATCAGTGGAAGTTCCAGCAGTATTTTCATGTGAAGTTTGTCACTTCATATTGAAGTTTTGGCTACCCATTCTTTTTATCTGATTTGGTATCGGAACTACCTTTTCTGCTTTCCATTCGCACAGAAAACTGTTCCGATAGACGTAGCAACGTATTCAAATGTTTTAGACAGATAGGGAGAACACCAAACTGGTCTTTGTTTTTAATTTTGCTAGAACTCTCTCAGACCCGTGTAAATAAACATTTCACATCATAGTTCAATATTAAATGAGACGTTCGGTCGAGACTCCATTTGAACATCATGAATGCACGACAGAAGTGTTAATTCGGTTGTATGTCGTTATTGCCATTACATCGAACAAAGACGGATAAAAATAATCATCAAACAGAGTATACATGATGCATGAATTTCCGCCGGCTCAGTTTTAATTGAATCGAGTATCACGCGCGGCGTAAAGCGCGACAACTGGTCGCCAGGGTGTCGCCATCAACACTATTCAAAAGTTTTGTTCTAAAAGGAATAAAAATAAAAATGGCTCTCGTGACATGCGAACGGCGAGGCTTCCCCATGGCCATCCTGCAACCGATGAGCATTCGTTGCCTCTGTGTGCAAACAGGGACACAGCTGGCACGCACAGGCAACCTCTCGTTCTTTCTTTCTTTCTGTCTCTCTCTCTCTCTCGAATCTAAAAAGTCGTCAAAAATACTAGTGTGGTGGAATGTCTTCGCATGTGGTACCAAACGTGAAGTTCGACACTATACTCGTTGTTACCTCAAGAGCCGTAGTAAAAAAAAGTCCGGCGCCTCGCGGAGCGTTATTAATGTTCCCCTTTATGTGGAGAATTAAGATATATGTAGGCGCAGTTTAGATTAGAAAGACGTTATCTTATCGAGACGAACACGCTTCAAACGCCAAAAGCATCGCTTGTTCCTCCGACAACCAAATCTTGTAAGAACTACTTCACGCCGCGTATGAAGAATGCGCAAAGCGTGCTTTCTGCTGGAAATCAGAGGGGGCAGTAATAAAGTTAGTGTAATTAAATACAGTAATTAAGTAACATTATGCAGTAATGAGTAATTTAATTTATTGCTTTTTGCTGTAAGTAATTTAGTAGTATAATTAATGACCACAAAACGATAATATATAATAAAGATACTGGATCACTTTTGTTTGTTCTATAGTATGTCTTGGTCCGCACGCAAAAGCCAGGTACATTTTATGCGATTGCAAGGGCAATAATCCTAACCTCGTTTATTTCATTGCGCAAAAAATGAAAGTTGGTGAAAGAGATTCGTAAATCCACTGTTTCGAAAAAGTACCACTTGTAAACAAAAACTAGTTTCTGGTACATGATTTATAGGCCTTAATTGTATATTATGGTAACTACCTTTGTTTTGCTTCTGGGCACTTTATTATAATTTGTAATAGGAGCATGCACATATTTTATAACAAAGTTCTCTTTCTCTTTTTTTCAACAGTGCCCGAAATGTCACCAGCCTTCCGTTTTCTACACAACGTTTTAGATTTTATCCGCGCTTCCACTCACTTAATGTTTACCCGCATTTAAATGTATTAGTCAATTGTCTGCATCTGTAAGTTCGCACTTGCGAATAAATGTAATTTCATTGTTACGCTCTTTTTTTCTTCCGTAAGTCATTTTATGACTTACGGAATTCATTTTAATTACCATTGTAACTTGTCCTCCGTTTTCATTCTTATTTCTGCACGTGCTTTGGAAGTAAGTAATTTCTTAAATTCGATATGCATTTCGAAAAAAAGTAATTTCACTCGTCTTTTTTATTTATATATGGCTGGAATTGGTATACAGCCTCTACGAGCTTGTCAGCCTCTTTACAACCTATGTAAATACTGCAAAAAGTCCCGATGACACCCCTTTTGCAATGCGAGGAAATTTGACAAAGTCAGCCGGTACATTCCATGCGTGCATAACTTGCACCCTGCGCAACCTTGCTAGCGCAAACTCGATATCGACGCCACATCGAATTCGACTTCGAAAGGTTTTTTGCGGGTATTCATTTTTACCTCTTACGTTGGTTCCCGAAATTGGCACTTTCAATCCTTCGATTCTTCGTTTCACTGCACTCTAAAAAAAAGCTCGTGCGTCTGCATTCCCGCACAACACTCGGAGAGTCAACCACCGAAACTTACGGAGGGTGCTCAGCGAATGACAATGCCGAAACATATGTTTAGACCAAAAAACGCAGTCTGAGTTGTGAGATTAAGCAATGCAAGCGTGACGTTTTGCATTGCTTAATGTCACAACTCAGACTGCGTTTTTTGGTCTAAACATATGTTTTGGCAGTGTCATTCGCTGAGCTGCCTCCGTAAGTTGCGGTGATTGGCTCTCCGCGTGTCGTGCGTGAAAGTAGACGCACAAACTTTTTTTAGAGTGTGTAAGTCTAAACGCAGCCTACGCTACGAGCTCACGGGACCAATCAAACAGTGTTTAAAGTGCACCATCATGGTGTTCCTCGTGTTTCTGTACATGTTCTACCATCGCTGAACCAATCATGAACAAATAGGGCCCAATGACTTGCGTTTTTTTTTTAAAGTTGATTGAAAGGTCCTTTTAGCTCGTAGCGCCAGCTGCGTCTGGACTGAAGCTGAAGCGAAGTATAGTAGACGTGGTAACAGCCTTTCAATACTAAAATAAATTAAAACAAAACGATGATCTGTTCGCGCTATGGGCGTAGTATTAGTGAGTAAAGTGACTGCGTCAACTTCCAAAAACTCGGCATCTCCAGGGCCCTGATTCGTTATCGTCAACAAGCCGCCTTCTACGATATCTAGCAGTTAATAGACTCATTACCTGGTTCAAATAACACCTAGCGGCAAAAATGTACAACCTCTCCCCGAAAAAAAAGTTACAATGTTTTTTTCATCACAAAAATCAACTGCCCTAAAATTTCGTAAGAACGCCCACTCAAAGTGAAGACATAGTTGGCGGGGATGCGACAGCAAAATTTTATTAAAAATTAGTAATAAATACTCGGGTGCACCCGCCACAAACCTTGTGATGCGGGAACATATATCGCAGATCGCGGA